TACCATGGTCGGTGATTTTATCGGACGCGCACATTGCCGTTTTGATCTTTTTCAATAGCAAACCACCACCGCCAGGTAGAAACATTCAACACCCGCCCTGACCTCAGGCTCGTTTCCGGCGATCCATCTGAATCTCCGATCTTAACAGGCCTGTACCCTTTATTCAATTGATCTCAGATCGTTCAAATTATTATCATAGTTGCACAATTCAATCTCCTAATTTTGATCGATTTAGGGCTTTATTTTGATTCATTTTGAAATTGTATGATGGTTGAATGCAGAGAGAGATTTAGGTGAAGGGTACGAGCGCCAATACAGTGAGCTCTCTGCCAACCTCACCAAAAAGTGTACGGTAGCTGGTGCTCTTGATGGAGGTCCAATTCCCACGCTTTCTTATTTGGTTTCTATTTTTCGTACATGTGATTTTTATATGTGGCTACCCCGAATTTAGATGATTTAGTTTGTATTTAATTGTGCCGGTGGCATGGATTTTATGGAGAAAGTTTCAGTCTTTTTGTTGATTTAAGCATAGGTATCCCAAACCTGGTGGAGGATCTTAATGTACGTCTGGGATTTGCCTTATTTGTGCGACAACTGACTTCTCGGTTTTGGTTGGTGGGGGATATGTGTTTACCTGATCACTAGACTGTTAATTTGAGATGATGCTAAGTTGCTAACATAAATGATGCTTCTTTATTTGAGGTTGAAAACTTATTAGTAGCTCTAGGATTAGTGATCTCAAAAGATGGTGGAAATCATTAGGCTGATAGAGCTCCACTGGTTTGAAGAATCTTATGCTTAATGTGTTAAAATGGTTGTTTGAAAGTAGACTTTGCCTATGATTTATTGACCAAGAGGAAAAAACAAGAAAGAGAGTGGATGGGATCTGGTATTGCACATTAATTGTATGTCTAATCTAAGATTGGATAATCTTAAACTTTTCAACAATTGAATGCCATTGAAATGGATGGGAGACGAATCCATTCTGACTTTTTGGATGTTGAGTATTGTAGCAACACCAGCCATAGGTAGTGGATTGGAGTGTTGCAGGTACAAAAATACAGAGAAAAAGGTTTTTAAGTCATTTCATGCAATGATGAACTTAAGAATAATATTTCAAATTTTGCTCATCGGGGGTTTATACATGCTTATAATCAGGTTTTGCTTCTTCTTTAATCTGCAGAGCAAAAGAAGCAAAAGATTTCTGAAATAAAGGCTGGAATTGATGATGCAGAATCTTTGGTAATTAGTTAAACTATTCTCCTTGGGAGGATTAGTTTCTGTTATTTCCTTTTACTTTGTATTAAATGGAATGTTTCTCAAAAAATTTCAGATCCGGAAAATGGACCTCGAGGCAAGAAGTTTGCCACCAAATATTAAAGCTGTGCTTCTTGCTAAGTTGAGGGAATATAAATCAGATCTGAATAATCTGAAAAGCGAAGTTAAAAGACTTGTATCTGGTAACTCATATTCATCTGCCCGAGATGAGTTGTTGGAATCAGGCATGGCTGATACTCTGACGGTATGTTTAGATCCTAATAGCTAATTTTTATGTTTCTAATAGTTATTAAATATACGAGTGTGATTCACTACGTCGTAGTGAGTTTGTGAGGAAGAATACACTTTGGTGAGCAAATCAGTCAGTGAACATTCTCATCAGTTTCTGGTTTGAGTTGATGGCCACTTGCTTATTGGAAACAAAGATGCTCCATAGAAGCATCCTTTTGCGTGATTGTATCTCTACTTTTTATTACATATAAGAAGCGCAGAAAGAATGCCTGTGAGATTCTTTGAAAATTCGTTTCACTAAGCACTTCTGTCATAATTGTTAGTTTTTCCTCTATTGTGACGTATGACGAGACTAGTGTGTGCATTCCAGAGCTTTGTATTTGGTGCAGTAAACATCCATGACTGTTTCAACCCTTCTGCTCTGAAAGCTCATCCTTTCTTGAATTTTGGATAACTTGTTTACCATTACTAACTGATGCAAATGCAATAGGCATCAGCTGATCAAAGAGGAAGGCTAATGATGTCAACAGAGAGATTAAACAAGTCTAGTGATAGAGTTAAGGACAGTAGAAGAACCATGCTGGAAACAGAAGAGCTTGGTGTTTCAATCCTTCAAGATCTGCATTCACAGAGACAGTCTCTGTTACATGCAAATAACACGGTAATTATCTTTTCAGGCTTTATATTCGTTTTAGGGTCGATTTAGTATCTTTTTCATCTTTTTTCCCTTACGTTTAGTCAGTAGTATGCACACCTTCCCTTCCGAGTAATGTATGAGAATAATGAAATTACACCATTGTACTTCGTGCTTTTGGACATACCACCTCTTGGACATGATTTACTCTTCATCTTCTTTTCATAGTTTTTAGTTTTAGTTTTCAGCAGTGAGCTATGTCTGTATGTATCCATTTACTTTACTAAAAATAAGTTTCTCGAAGCACAAAAGTTGTTGGTATAACTGTTTGCTATTAATGCAAGAATATATATGGCACCCTTGGACATAATTATTTGACTGTTTTCTTTCTATTGCAGCTTCATGGGGTGGATGACAACATAGGGAAAAGCAAGAAAGTTTTGACTTCCATGGCACGGAGGATGAGCAGGAACAAGTGGATTATTGGCAGTGTTATTGCCGTTCTTGTCATTGCCATCGCCTTGATCTTGTACTTCAAACTTAAATAGCCAAGACATTTTCTCTTGTTTGAGCTTGTGGGTGTTTCGAACGAACAGATTTTCATTTTCTTGTTTCTCCTTATTTTTCGTGTGTGCAAAATTGAGTTGCCAAGATGGAGATGCTTGATTGTGTAGTAATGGCAAAATATTGATACGTTTCGATTCTTTGCTGGTTGTATTCACTACTAAAAAGACGTATGCTTTGCTTTCACCATGAGCGGGTCCATTGCTCATTAAGTACAGTTAATAATATATCGGAAAAATTTTCCTTTCTTCTCTATCTGAATAACTCTCATCTTACTCGAATTTGGGTGCAAAGAGACAGGCCTCACCATCCTGACCAACTTGCTTATCTCAAGCATCCCATCCTCCCATGTTAAAAAAAATAAATAGTTGTTATTGGCTTTATCTGTACTTAAGTAAACGACTGAACAATTCCTTTGGTTTTGTCTTTGTTACTCTTCTGTTTCTCCAAAGCTCCAGACTTAAGCTGCCTTTTTCAGCCTCTCTTATGAGATGGCCAACCAACGCTGCCTTGGCATCACTACCCAACCGCCACCTCCGTTCGCTTATTCGAGCATGCACGCGCCAATGCTCTATCGACATGGGCAAGAAGCTTCACGCCGCCATTATCACCTGCGGCGTTGCCGCCGTGCCAGACTCATTCCTTCACAATGCCCTCCTCCACTTCTACGCTGCCCATGGCAGTGCATGCTCTGCCCGCAAGCTGTTCGACGAAATTCCCAACTCGCACAAAGACGCTGTGGACTGGACCGTCCTGATGGGCTGCTTTTCCCGCCACGGCATGCCCCAAAGTGGGCTTCGTTTGTTTGTCGAAATGAGAAGAGAGAACGTGAGGGTGGACGACGTGGCCATGGCTTGCTTGTTCAATGCGTGTGCTCGGCTGGGCAACGTTGAGATTGGGGAGCAAGGGCATGGGTTTGTGATGAAGGTGGGTTTCGGTTCTAGTGTCAAGGCTTGCAATGGGGTCATGGATATGTATGTCAAGTGTGGCCTATTGGGTATGGCGAGACGGGTGTTTGAAGAGATGGGGGAGCGGAGCGTCGT